AACGAGCGCTTCCGCTGCCCCGAGGCTCTCTTCCAGCCCAGCTTCTTGGGTCTGGAGAGTGTTGGCATTCACGAGACCTGCTACAACTCCATCATGAAGTGCGATCTCGACATCAGGAAGGACCTGTACTCCAACATTGTCCTCTCGGGTGGCTCAACCATGTACCCCGGCATTGCTGACAGAATGAACAAGGAGCTCACCTCGCTTGCCCCGTCATCAATGAAGATCAAAATCATTGCACCTCCTGAGCGCAAATACTCAGTTTGGATCGGTGGCTCAATCCTGGGATCCCTGTCCACCTTCCAGCAGATGTGGATCACCAAGCAGGAATACGACGAATCCGGCCCACAAATCGTTCATCGCAAATGTTTCTAATTTGTTTATATATAAATTTATTTTGCGTTTCATTTAGTGACTTTTACCTGAAACTGGGTAGCCCTGTGTGTTGGCTAACGGGTTTCTAGTTGGAAGGTTTACTAACGCACACTTGCGGTGTTTATGGTTTTCCTTAAAATGACAACGGTAGGTTATGTAAACCCTTCTTAGCGCATAGCAGGGGTTTGGTAATGGGGCAGGAGCAGTGATCTGTGTGGACGAAAACATAAAATAGTAAGTAAATTCGCGCTAAATTGATTCTTGTTGGCAGGCGGGTTACCCGTTAGTGTAGCTGCTGGCTACCTGGCTTGTCCACAGGTGGCGGATAGTGGCCCGGCCTTCCGTGAATGTTAGCTGCGAAATAAGCAGACTCCCGGGTGTGGCGAATAAGCAGTTGCGGACACAGTAACGACAGTGTTACCAGGGCGCGGAGGGCTGAGGTCTGGCCCACCGACTGCCTTATAATTTGCCGCAAGTCCTATCGCAGGGGGTTAAGTGAGTTAAACCGAGCAGCTGCGATCTTCAGACCATGGTTACTTAGTTGAGGAGAAGTCGGTTAAGGACGGAGTAGTGGGAAGAGTATATTGTGTACACAAGGGAAAGGAGAATAGATGGAGGAAGTCTGACTTGGGAGAGCACGACCACCCAGAAGATTGACCGGGTCCCAAGTGGGGTTTTAGCAGCAGTCAGGCCAGTAGACAG